AAAGCGTGCCCTAGATATGCCTATCAACGACATAACTATCTCTGCTATTGTACTCTTAAAAACGAGACGCCTTTCAAAATAGCGTCACACGACGCCAAACTGACTAAATGTTTGAGGACTTCGCTTCTGAAGTCATAAGAATTCTCAAAACATTCAACGCATAATTATTAGAAACCAAAACATCAAACACATCAACCGACGCGTCTGACGCCTGTATCCATTAGCAAGCGTCATAACCTACTCTTCATTATAATTATTCAATTTCTGTAAATAACTTTATATTATGTCGCGCGATGGCGCGCACATCACTTTACAATTGACGCCATAATTTGTGTACGACCCGTTGTGTATATACACGACTGCAATACAAAATCAAGTGTCAGTTGTTGTTTTGCTTTCGTTGTGTTTACATCACTCGACGCCATATTTGACGCCTTTTTCGACGCTTTCCTCGAAAACACAACAGCACTCTCGACGCTATTCGACGCCATACTGACGCTCACCAACACAACTATGGCTTCAAAGTCTGGAAAGAACTGCCAGTCATGCGACGCAATTTCGGCCCAAAACAAAGAGTTGACGACTCTCAACAAGGAGCTCATGGACACCAATGCCCGCCTCAAAGTTCATCTCGAGTCTCGTGACGCCACACTCGGGGAACGCGACGCCAAGATTAAGCGTCTGGAGCTCAAGTCGGCCCAACTGCTGGCCGCCCTCCAACACTCACAAGGACTTACCGCCTGCCTCATCGAGTCTTTCTCCGACGCAGACGCGCCGCCACCGTCAAGAAGCAGGGCGTCAAGCGTCACTTCCGAGACGCTCTCAAGCATAGCGTCGCTTGGATTTCAGTGCCTGACCCTCAGCCGAACCACACCACCAATACTCCCTCAACGCAAGAAGCCCTCCAACACCAAGGCGTCGGCGACGCCATCTCAACAACAGACGCCAAAACCCGCAAAAAGAGCCGCCTCCCGCTCACCAAAGAAATCTGCGCCTAAGAAGACAGTGACGCGTTATCACCAATGCGTCCTGTGCGGGTGGCACGACAGGGCGTCAAACAAGAACGTTCCGCGTCATTTCCACACCAACCACGACAACTACCACTACAACATCAAAGAACACGGGAAGAAATTCTTCTATCTCGTGGTTGACGCGCCGCTGGATAATTGGCCAGAATCGACCCCGAAGCCATGGGACGTTATGGAGTTGCTCGGCGTCAAAGGCATTGACGCCCGTTGGCTAAACACAAAAGAAGCGTCAAGACCCCCGACTGCAACCACACAGAAGACGCCGACGCCGAAGCAGAAGAAGAGCGTCAAATCAAGGGAATACATCTCGAGTAACAGCGATGATAGCGACAACGAGGAAGAAACACCGGGCGGAGTCAAAAGAGAACCTGACCTCAGCGCGTCATCCGATTCGGACGCGTAAAGACGCCAATCCGCTGAGAACCTCAACACCGACGCCATATTATGACGCCTTAATCGTCAATATTTTGATTGTTTTACTTTCTCTTTTTGCTTAAATAACTCATTTATAAAATCAAATTATAAAACTATATTATAATTACTACTATTATTACTATTACAATCATCACTATTTATTACTCTTATTTGTACTGTTTTATATGGAATTAAATAAATTTACCTTCAGTAGGGGTCAGTCCCCGTTCTGTTGGCTCAAGGAAAAAAACCTAACCTAACCTAACCTAACCTAACCTAACCTAACCTAACCTAACCTATCTGATCAATAATCCCATCAATAAGTCAATACATACAAGATACATATGTTAGTGTATTTACAACACGTCTTACTCGCTAACCCTTATTGCATACAAATTACTTAAAATTATAGATTAATGGAAACAATGGATTAAATAAAATTATATATAAATCCGTTAATTATCTCGCGCTAGTAATATCAAATTTCAAAATCGACTCAATATATTTGGAAAACAAATAATCAGTTTAATTGTCATTCAAATCTAAGTACTTCTGAAGTGATGTATCGGCTAATGAGACAAACGATTAGCAAAACACCGCTAATGATAGCCATTAGCGCGACAATTGGTGTGAATTATTGGCACAAAAGACACACAAAACTGAACAAACAATTGATGGCAAACATCGATACTCGCCGTAAGTTAAGGCTACGAATAGCTCATATGAAAGACACCGACAAAGCCATCGGTGATGTCTACCATAAGGCGTGGAGGAAAATTGTATTCTTAAGGTCTTATAAGTTCACGACACCATATAAGACAGTCCATGTCAATGAAGGCATGGGAGTTATCATAACTACTGACCCGACATATGTGTTGACCTGCGCTCACTGTATAGACGGTGATGTATCGGCATTTGTCCCCATTTACCGGTTTGCGAAGTGGAAGGGCGAACCTGACCCCGAACTACCGTTTATTGAGTCGAGGTATTGCGTGGGATATGTCGCTTATATGGAGCGGGAGATAGACTGTGCGCTCATTAGACTGATCGATGACCTGCCGAAGCGATTTGTGGCCGAGTTCTCGAAACATGGCGTAAAATCAGGCCAACATTTGGTGGGAGTCGGCAATCGGGACATAAACTATTGTATATGCGATGGTGTTGTCAACGGCGTGGACAGGGATTGCGGGTCCTTTAGTCACGGCAGTTATCATAGTTGTGAGGCTATTGATGATCCGACTAATCGGTATATCATGCATACAAATCGCACGTATCCGGGCTTTTCTGGGAGTGCAGTGTTTGATATGGAGGGAAAGGTGGTTGGTATGCATACGGGCAGTATAGCACCTTTTAATGAAGGATTTGCCGTTCCTTACAACGATTTGATAAAAGGTTTGTAAAGTGTTTTTATGGATTATAACCAGTGATCGCACTATCAGTTTATATAATATGAGATGTTTTTATCATTTCTTAAGATTTCATTGAAAGAGGTATTGCTTTCGACGGTCGACACGATAATGAGATGAAAGTCAAAGAGATTGAGGAGAGACACGAAGTGAAGGGATCACTCGGTATATGTGTCCGTCGGTTAGACCAAAACGCAATCGATAACCGATTTGGTCGTAAGTTTAGAAAACTTATCCCTCTTTTTGTTGGATCTTTGGGCATCATTGTGTTGGATCAGGTGATGGCCAATCAGATTGGTGACGGGTATATGTTTACGACAATTATTTGCCAATCAATGTATTGAACGACTGTTAGCTTACTATTCATTTGCCATTTCAGTGAAAACCATCTCATGAGGAATGATGTGATCACTGAAGTGAATGGAAATGAAGTCAATTCAGTGACAATGTTCAGGCAATTGATTGATACCACCGGTGATATCGTGCTATCTGTCCATCGCTTCAATGCTAACTCTGACGGGTACGAGGGTTTTGAGACTACATTTCTCTTTACAGTCAAACCTGAGCCCAAGAGCTGTCTTCTCATATGATTTATAATTGTATTTCAAAACTAATTGATATCTCAATTATTTCATGTAATCGTAAATTTACTGTTACTATAATTTTCTAAATACATTTCAATGTGTTATTAATATCTTAAAACTATTGTATTTTATGGATTAAACAAATTCCTATTCATTATTATATATTTATTTTGATATTGTGTTTTAATAATTTGAATTGGATTTTGAAAACTTGATATTTTGTTTAAAACTAATTTATTTTGTCGAAATTGAGTAGAAAATGGTTTATAAGTTTCAGTTATGAAGCCTATGAATACACTTTTCATATTATATTCATATAGTAATGAGATAATAGTTATCCTGGGTGAAAATAATCAGTAAATTTGCCAATTGTTTTAAATTCACTTCAAATTATCGTTCAATTTATTATTTACTCAAGTAAAGTTTTGTTTACAAATTAATAACTTGCTATTAGCAGTTTGATTAGCAAATTGACATTATTGCAATTTTATTGCAAATATAAATCTATGAATTTAAATTTCAACTCATATTTTATAATTATTATGAATAATATCATTGAAAATAGTTTTCATAAGATTTGCGGCAAACATATCGATGTGTTTATAAGTTTTCGTCAAACTATTCTCATTACTGTCACAAACATATTGATCACAATTATCAATGTTCTCGCAAAAAGTGGTCATCTCTTGGGTAGGGCTGAGGACATTGAAGTGCGACACAAATGGACGTCCGAGCGATCTCTGGGACTATTTCTCTGCAAGTTTAACACCAATGCAAAGGATGTCAGGTTTGATAACTTGGATGCAGAGGACGTGCTCTCGGAGTTATTTGATGGCCGAGTCATTGTTTGGGAACAGGTGTTGGGCAATGGGATGGGTGTCGGGTATACTATGCAATTGTACAATATTATTTTGATATACAGTATATCACTATATTATCGCAATGACTGTCCGTTAATTGTCTATATTTTGTGACTATTATGTAATATTCAATGAATTGAATGACTGTTAACTTGCAATCCATTTGCCATTTCAGTGAAAACCAACTCAAGAGGAATGATGTGATCACTGAAGTGAATGGGTTTGAAGTAAATTCAGTTAAAGACTTCATAGAGTTTATACAAGACATACATGAAGCTGATCCGGACGAAGAGATTGTGCTAACTGTCCACCGATGCACTACTGATGCTATGGACGAGAATGATATTGATATGAATTTTGAACTTACAGTCGAATACACAGCGAAAAACTATGAATTTATATGATTTATGAATGTATTTCCAAATTGATAGATATTTTATTAAATTATTTGCAATAAATATATCGCGCTTACAAAACATTGTGAAATAAACAAAATCCATTTAAATATAAAATTGATATTCAAAACAGATTATTCGTTTGATAAGTTATACAGAATAGAGTAAAGTTTAGTAACAAAATGTATAATTTGTAGTAATGTTTAAATTATTAAAACAAACTGTTCTCAAAAGTGCACTAATGGTAGGAATTAGTGCGACAATTGGTGTGAATTATTGGCACAAAAGACACACAAAAGTGAGCAAACATTTGATGGCAAACATCGATACTCGCCGTGAGTTAGGGCTACGAATGGCTCACTTGAAAGACACCGACGAAGCCATAAGAAATATCTACGAGAAGACCTGTATAAGTATAGTATACTTACAGTGCTATTCATTTACTGAGCCGAGTATGACGACCATGACCTGCACAGACGGTATAGGCATCGTAACCAATGAGCCGGGATATATAGTGACGTGCGCTCACATAATAGACGCCGATTTATCAACGCCTGTAACCATTCAAATGTTTCTCATGGACGGGGAGGATGTGGTAAGACTACCGACGGGTAGACTACTAATGGAATACGAAGGATATGTAGCTTATATGGAGCGGGAAATAGACTGTGCACTCATACGACTGGCACCGGTATCTCTGCCGCGCTATATGTCCACCACATTCTCGAGTACCGGCGTAAATGTAGGCCAACCCGTGGTGGCTGTGGGCAGTCATGCGATTGCGTACTGTATAAGCAATGGTGTCGTCAATTGTCTGGACATGGAGTACGGGTCTATAAGTCGTGGGTTTGTTTGGTACTCCGATCAGTTAGATCATCAACGTAATCAGTATATTACGCATACCAGTCCCACATTTGTAGGCTTTTCCGGAGGTCCAGTGTTTGATACGGACGGACAGGTTGTCGGTATGATTACGAGCGGCGATGAGGACATTACAGAGGGATATGCCGTTCCCTACAACCATATGATGAAGGGTTTGTAGTTTTCATTGATTACAACCAGTGATCGCACTATCAGTTCATATAATATGAGATGTTTTTATCGCTTCTTAAGAATTCATTGAAAGAGGGATTGATTTTGACAAACGACACGATAATGAGATGATATCCAAAGCACTTGAAGAGAGACACGAAGTAACATCTCAACGATCTCTGGGTATATGCGTCCGCCCGAAACAATGGGGTCGTTATTCCCGAGCCCTAGTTGTGGATCAAGTGATGGGGAATCGGGTGGTTGTCGGGTATGAGTAGTTTCATAACTATCTATATTTATTATGAACAGTATTGCATATATTGAATCACTAAGTCACTAAATGTCTGTAATTTGTGACTGTTATGTATTGAACGACTATTAACTTAACATCCATTTCCCCTTTCAGTGAAACCCAATTCATTCCGGGAGATGATGTGATCACTGAAGTGAATGGAAATGCCGTCGATTCGGTCGAGAGGTTGAGTCAATTGATAACTGAGACAAACACTGAAACTGTTGACCTAACTGTCCGTCGCTTTAATGATGATACCGGCGATTACGATACCATTACCCTTATAGTGAAACCTGAGCCCAAAACCAGGTTTTTAATATGATTTATGACTGCATTTTTAAATAGTTTGATACTATACTAAATTATTTACTGTATTATAGTTTTCTAAGTTTAGATAAATGAGTTATATTTATAAATAAAATAATTCCTTATGAAATGAATTTATCAGTGCTTTAATTGTTTTACTAAGAAAACAAAATAAATTTATAGTATAAATTTGACGTAGTTCATAAAATATTAATCAAATAATTTATATTTAAGTTAGTTTGATTTAATTTATACCATGTATATTTAATAATTGAGTCAATAGTGGTGTGTCTGACTCTGTAGTCGACTTAATACCAGTCAAACTCATTTAATACAATGAATTTTACTCAAATAACTTATAAATAGTTAATAATATTCATTAATCACTCAAAAACTAATCATTTTGAAAAAAATTCCTAAACTTTTTTATGATTACAAATCCCCTCATAATTAGTTAGTAATGAGTTTTCCCAGAATATATAGCAATGAAACTGCGATACATGTCATAGAGATGAGTGGTTTTGAGTTAAAGTCTCACATTTGTATGCATCGGTCGATGAATTAGTTTGAAACCACATTTCTGCAGCGAACTGAACATGGCATACAATCTTTCAAATGTCTGCAATTAGTCAAACCAGTGATCCGGTTGATCCCAAAGAGCTGCCGGAGTTCTTCGATTCCTCCAAATATGCAGACAAAGAGCTGATGGTTGAGCCACACGTTGACGAGTCGGACACCGAAGACCCCAATAATAATGATGGCGTTCCGGACGAAGAGGTGACGGCTTTCTTCAGATATATGGATAACATGTATTTCAGAGGCAGACTATACGAGAGAGGGGTCCGGATAGAGGTGTCGACGAGACTGAAGAAGAATTGGACCCGAATTGTGAAGACAACGGAGTGAGTAATGGTTAAGAGATATCTATATATGGTTTTAATACTTGGGATCAATTGATAGCTCGTATGAGATCCGTATGACTCATATATTGGTTGATAATGACCACAAACATGATATGCCTGACTATGTCTTGGATGCTATGATCAAAGTTAACGGAATGATCGCTCGGGCAGACGGTATGGTATGTCAGATATGAAGTAGTTTTAGTAAAATGTGATTTTCTACTGACAGAGAAAATCAAAAAATCAAATCTCAATGAAAAACAGATTAAGAAACCATTGGATAGTCTATCGGAAAAACAAAACCAAAAACCAAATGTCAATGCAATCAATGAACCAAAAAAGGTTTAAATGAGTGCAAAGTTATTTGAATTATGAGTTAACTGTAATAGAGTTTGTCATCTATTAGACTACCGGTGCTGACGACTTGGGCGACGAAGAACTCGAAAAACTAATCCTCAAAACCGAGAAGATGTCGCTCGCGGCCGAAACCCTGGAGGAAATGGATCCCAAACCGTGTATCAATGAATTGTTCCGGAGATACGACAAGAGATTCTTCGATGGATTGCTTCACGGGAATGATGTGGACGTCGGATGGAGTTATCAAATGAAACGGAGTGCCGGTATTACGTACGCTGATCGGGGCGATCGACCCATTATTATACGGTTGTGTCGACGCCTACTATTTAGATCCCCGCGAAGAGATCTCGTGGAGACACTCCTCCATGAGATGATTCACGCCTGGATGTTCATACATGGCGTGGAAGGTTAGCCTGGTCATTGTTTTGATACGATATTGTGGTTGTAATGTATTTATTGTCCACTTCTTAGAGGATAATGGAGGACATGGAAGGGTTTTCCACAAGAAAATGGATGAACTGAACCGCGAAACGGGTCTAAACATAGCCGTCGGACACAATCTTCCGGATATCGATCCCAACGATGATATGAATCGGTTTGAAAAGACGCGACAGAAGAAGTGGCACAAGACTTGTGATTATTTGCCTGCCGTTTGAATATTTGTATGAATTTATGAATTAATATAAATTTGTACCTAATTTATACCGTAATTAATGCATTGAAATAATAGAAAATATCTGAACTTATTGACAAATTATTAATAAAATTAATCTTTTCGAAAATATACATAAAGTATATAAAAAGGGAAACATTTTCAAAATACTATAATTACAAAAGTATTAATCTGATTAATATAAGTATTTATAAATATTCAATGATGAGTCCCTATAAGGAATCGGTAATCACTTAATAATTAATAAAATTGAAAATATTTCTCAATTTTTATAATTACTATTCAAATGCACTCATAATTAGTTAGCAATGAGTAGAGATAAATTATTAAATATGAGTATATTTTAGTATTAGTAAAACATTTGTATGATTTGGTCGATTAGTCGGTTTGTAAATCACATTTCAATACAACATAGACTTGAAATCAAAGGGAATTATTAAAAATAATTAAACAATAATTGTTACCAAGGTTCAGTACTATGAATGCGATACAGCATATAACGTTCAATAATACCAATAGATTTGCATTATTTTCTAACAAAATTCAAATATCATTTCAATAAAACGAATTCATTGATAGGTTAAAAATTTGTAAATTAAAATCTTACATATTAAACAATTTATTTGTTTGATTTAATATAAAACACGGAATATTCTGCAGTAATGTATTGGCTATTGAAACAAACACTTAGCAAAACACCGCTAATGACAGCCATTAGTGCGACAATTGGTGTGAATTATTGGCTTAAAAGTTACCCAAAAGTGAGCAAACAATTGATGATAAACATCGATACGAGGCGTGTGTTTGAGCTACGAATGGCTCATATGATAGACACCAAAGATGTCTATGAAAATGCCTTCAAGAGTATAATATACTTAATGGCCTACAAATGGACTCAACCCAATGGGAAAAGGATCAACAAAACGGGTATTGGGATCGTAACCAATAACCCGGGATATATAGTCACCTGCGCTCACAATGTAGAGGCTGATGTGTCGACTCCTGTAACCATTAAACTGTTTGTAGAGCGTCGGGACCTTATGGGGAAGTCCTATCGTATTGGAAACATATTAGTATACGAGGGATATATCGCTTATATGGAGCCAGAGATAGACTGTGCGCTCATACGACTGCCCACCAAACAGCTGGCCCACAATATGTCGACCACTTTCTCTAATACTGGTGTACAAGTAGGCCAACCCGTGGTGACTGTCGGTAATTATGAGATAAAGTACTTTATATGCGATGGTATCGTCCAATGTGTGGACCGGGAGGTCGGGTCCATAGCTCGCGACGATTATCGTATTTGGGATGATATACTGGAACCGAGTAATCGGGATATTATGCACAACTGTCCCACTTACCCGGGCTTTTCCGGGTGTGCGGTGTTTAATATGGATGGACGGGTAGTTGGTATGCATTGGGGCGGAAATGCAAAGTTTGGCGATAAATATGCCGTTCCTATGAATACATTAAATGGTTTGCATTTTCATTGATTATTAAAATCAGTGATCGCACTATCAGTTCATATATTGAGATATTTTTAATAATTTCTTAAGTTTTCATTGAAAGAGGGATTGCTTTCGACAGACGACACGAAAATGCAATGAATGTCAACGCCGTTGAAGAGAGACACCAACGGACTGTCCAACGATCTCTGGGTTTATGCGTCCGTCAGAGACAACGGAATCTTAATCTCGAAGTCTATGTTTGGGATCAGGAGATGGGGAACCGGGTGTGTGTCGGGTAAGAGAAGAGAGACACCAACGGACTGTCCAACGATCTCTGGGTTTATGCGTCCGTCAGAGACAACGGAATCTTAATCTCGAAGTCTATGTTTGGGATCAGGAGATGGGGAACCGGGTGTGTGTCGGGTAAGAGTATACAGTATACTGTTTATTACTATATTGTATGCAAACCAATTGTATTGCATGTGTTGTTTTAATAACTAACAGCTATTTTTGTTACATTTATGATTATTGTTGAATCCATATATTGATCAATCGATGGCTTAAAATCCATTTCCCTTTTCAGTGAAAACCAACTCATGAGGAATGATGTGATCGCAGAAGTCAATGGAAATGCAGTCAATTCGGTGGAAATGCTGAGACAATTGATAACTGAGACAAACACTGAAACTGTTGACTTAACTGTCCGTCGCCTCAATGATAATAGCGATGAATACAATACATTTCCCCTTACAGTCAAACCTGAGCCCAAAACACGCTTTTTAATATGATTTATGATTGTATTTCTAAAACCAATTGAGAAGAGAGACACCAACGGACTGTCCAACGATCTCTGGGTTTATGCGTCCGTCAGAGACAACGGAATCTTAATCTCGAAGTCTATGTTTGGGATCAGGAGATGGGGAACCGGGTGTGTGTCGGGTAAGTGTATACAGTATACTGTTTATTACTATATTGTATGCAAACCAATTGTATTGCATGTGTTGTTTTAATAACTGAGAGTTATTTTTGTTACATTTATGATTATTGTTGAATCCATGTACTGATCAGTCGATGGCTTAAAATCCATTTCCCTTTTCAGTGAAAACCAACTCATGAGGAATGATGTGATCGCAGAAGTCAATGGAAATGCAGTTAATTCGGTGGAAATGCTGAGACAATTGATAACTGAGACAAACACTGAAACCCAACTGAATTGACAGGCAGCGGAGTTACTATTATCGCTACTTATGTTATGTAAAGGGGAATGTCAGTTTGGACTCGGGTTTTGTGCGAAAAATTATACTAAATACTAACATAAAGATTTTGGTTAACAAATTATAATAAATTATTTAATGTATTAAAGTCTTATTAAGAGGATTACATTAATTCAATAGTATAACAAAATTATTAGTTTCATTTTAGCAATGTGCACCATACCAACAAACATTGACAACTCTTAAATTATTTAATTGTAATTTTTTTAAAACAATTACTAAGAAACTAAATTTTTAGTAATTTCTATGCACCTTGCTATTTCTAATTCTAATTACTGTGTATTTAGTGTTCCCAAATCCAAAAATCAAATTCCTTGAGAATCCTTAGTTTTAAACAAACAAACCTGAGCTAAACAATTGTATCTCAATATGATTTATATTATAAATGAAACGATTTTGAAATTATAAATCTATTGAATTATTGATCAAAAATATTATTAATAACTTCTAAACCGAATTAAGTTATAAATTATAATTATGTATTAAAAATTGTTCAGTTTTCATAATAATGAATTTGTATCATTTGGCTGGTAAGTAGTAATTACTATAAATTTTATAGTATAAAACCTCGAGCAATGAACACGATTTACAAATTCAAAAATCCATGCAATTATCTATTCACTAAAATTGATATTTAAACTAAAGGGCAAATATTTGTGTACTATTTTCCAAATGTATAAACTATTGACACAATCTATTCGCAAAAGTCCACAAATCGTAACCATTTGTGCGACAATTGGTGCGAATTATTGGCACAAAAGACACCCAAAAGTGAGCAAACAATTGACGGCAAACATCGATACTAACCACAAGTTTATGTTACGAATGGCTCACATGAATGGCACTGATCAGGACCATTACATCTACAGAATAGCCTGGACTCAAATAGTATTCATAAACTCATTCAGTTACATGAAGGCTACAATTAAGCCAGGGTCAACTGGTTTGCTAAACGGCAACGGTATAGGGATCGTGACCTATGACCCCCAATACATAGTGACCTGCGCTCACGTTATACAATCAGATGTGTCAACCCCTGTAACCATTACACTGTTTACGCCCAATACTGATCAAGTGATCAGGGTGTCTGCGAGTAAGGCATTCACCCTACAGGGATATGTAGCTTATATGGACCCGGCTATAGACTGCGCCCTAATACGACTGTCCGCTGAATTTGCGCACAATAAGATCCCTGTTCCCTGAATCCGGTGTCAAAGTAGGCCAACCCGTAATGTGTGTGGGGAGTCATAGAATATCCTATTGTATAGCCGATGGTGTCGTACAATCGCTGGACAGGCCGTTCTGCACCTGTAGCCGAGGCAATCATTGCATACAAACCTCTGTTCACAGTCTGGACAGTCTGTATACTATGCACACCTGTCCCACATATGTGGGCTTTTCCGGGGGTGCGGTGTTTGACACGGACGGACAGGTAGTTGCTATGAATTCTGGTGGAGATCAGATGCTTCGTGAGAAATACGCCGTTCCTTACCATACGTTAAAAGGTTTGATTACATCTTGTGATCGCACATCAGATCATATAATATGAGATGTTTTTACCATTTCTTTAGATTTCATTGACAGAGGAATTGAATCACAAAAATCCGACGAAATAGCGTTGAAAGCGAGGTATGAATTGACAGCCCAGGTATCTTTGGGTTTATTACTGGTACCATTGGATAAGAAAATAAAGGAACTCCTATTTAGTGGTAGTATAGGGAAAGCACAGTTCGCCAATGTATTTGATGGTGGTGTCGTTGTCTGGGATCAGGTGTGTGGGAATCGGGTGGGTGTCGGGTAAGTGTCTATACATTTATAGCTATCTATTTGAATGCAAACCATTTGTATTGCAAATATTTTCTTAATGATTATCCGTTAATTGCATATTAATTGTGACTATTATTTGGTAATCAATGTAATGAAAATCAAATCCATTTCCCATTCAGTGATATCGTACTCAAGAAAAACGATGTGATCACAGAAGTGAACAATGAGCCAGTTCATTCACTGGAAATGTTCAGACAAATGATTGAACAGCCTGGTCATTTAGAGTTAACTGTTTATCGACTCACACCTGATCTTAAAACTGAAAGCTTTTCCCTATCCGTCAAACTTGAGGCTAAAGACTGTTACTTAATATGATTACAACTTTTGATCGCTTGAGTGACTAATTGAATTGTAGATTATCTTACGATTACTTTTATACTGTATTCAAATTTGCATATTTATAAATAATCTATTTTTGAGTATTATGTTTATTAACCAGTGAATACTGTAGTTTCCTATTAATTATTTTACATGGATATGTCTCACAATAATTTATGATAGTTTTTGTGTATTATAATAATTATTTTAAAAATCATTTTCATGGTCTCGTTCAATAATAGAGTTTAACTTTTATTTGCAAAATTCAAATTAACTCTAATCAGTACTTAAAGTACAGTAATTGAGTTACTGAATCTCAATACTGGAAATTAATTGATAATTTTATATTACAAATTATATCAAATAGTTATGTTCAGACTATTGATACAAACAGTTGGTAAATGTCCACTCATAATAACCATTTGTGGGGCAATTGGTGTGAATTATTGGCGCAAAAATCAGGATACGAGCCGTGAGTTTGGGCTACGAATGGCTCACATGAAAGACATCCAAATAGACATCAATTATATCTACAGACATACCATCAATAGTATCGTAAGTGTTACCGCATATTCAAGCACTGAGACGGGAACGGGATTACGAAAAAGCACCAGGGGCGTAGGGATCGTTACTAATAACCCGGAATATATCATCACCTGTAGCCACATAATACCCGCTCAACCCTCAGCCTCTGTAACTGTCAGACTGTATGTCCCGCACAGGGATGGTGTGGTCCGGGAGTCTAAAAATGTTATATACAAATGTGACGGATATGTAGCGTATATGGAGCCGGAGATAGACTGCGCTCTTATACGACTTTCCCATCCTATGCCGCCTCGTATGGTCAGCCGATTCGGGTCGACCCTAAAACAAGGGGAACGGATGTTAAGTGTGGGTACTTATGGTATTAAGTATTGTTTAGGCGATGGTATCGTACAGTCTATCGATAGGCCCACGGGTTCTATGGTTGCGGACTGTTATGTAGTTTTTGATACCTGTCAGGACGAAACTAATGAACGCGTATCGCATACCTGTCCACAATATGGCGGTTATTCCGGGGGTCCGTTGCTTAATATGAATGGAGATATAGTGGGTATGAATTGGGGAGGAATTAATGGTAACGACGAGAACAGTACAGTTCCTAACCATGTGTTGAAAGGTATGCCTATTTTTATTGATTATAACTCTCTGTCCTTATATTGAGATGTTTTTATCATTTCTTAAGCTTTCATTCAAAGAGGAATTGATTCACAAAACAGAGACCAAAATGAGTTGAAAGCCATTGAAGCGAGACATGAATTGTCGGGACAGCGATCTTTGGGTCTATTAGTCGTACCGATGAACCAAAGAGTGGTAAACAACCGGTTCAGTGATACCCAACTGAAAGTGATTACTTCATAGGAGTGTTGTCGTCTGGGATCAAGTCATTGGGAACCGTATGGGTGTCGGGTATGGGTGTATATTTACGATGGTTACTGTAATTACTACAATTCCAATCCATTTCCCATGGATTCAGTCTTAACCAACTCATGAGGTATGATGTGATCACTCGAGTCAATGCAAATCCGGTCAATACGGCTGAAAAGTTCAGGGAAACTGTGGACAGATCTGAACACGTGTTCCTAACTGTCCATCGGGTGGAACCTAATGGTCGCATACATATCTTTCCCCTAACAGTCATACCCGACACCAAAAACCTTTCCTTAATATAGCGTTTCATACAGTTTTCTTAACATATTTTCGTTTATTATAAGATAATACGGAATTTTATGTTTGTTTTAAAATTTAAATCCATAATAAAATACTTTGACTGAAAATCGTGTTCAATAAATCACTTGTTTGTATCGCGAGTTTGTATTTTTAAATTGATTACAAAATTCTGTTACAACTTATAATCAGATATTAAAAACGGTAGACAATTGTATTCTTAGTGCTATTCAATTTAACAATTTAAACATCAAGGACATGGATCAAATTATGGGCACAAATGTTTGCAATTCATTTATAATGAAGAATTTGTCGCTCATTGTTATTGGCGTTTATTTGAATACTTTGGGGTATGAAATGACAATTATAGCTACATTTTCAATATCTATTTATGTGAACAGTTGGACAGTCGTATTGGCAGATGTAGTGACACCCAAACATGAGTATGTCATCTCTGACGGCGCTCTTATAGCTCACAGTTTTATTAATATCATTGAAGTGGTCATATGTTGCGGTTGTCTGGCATTCATTGTATCCATGATTCTCAATGGCGTCGAGAGGAGTGCCAAAAAGCGGTCAAACCAACTGCCAGTTGTGGTTCAAACACCTGTCCAACCCTCACAACTCCCTCAACCCCCTCAACCCACTTCACTACCCGTTATAAAGCGTTGATAAGATTTGTTAGAAAATCCAAATTTCATTCAATTGTCATTTTCATATTATTTATATCATATTAAATATGAAAATTTTTTATTTTAGTCCTATTTTGTTGTAGGTTAACCGGGAAGACCTAATTCTTGTAAATTTATAAATCAATATTTTTTAAAATAATAGATAAACAATGGACTTCTTTGGCTTCTTTAACCGGGAAGCCCGACCCGACCCTCTATGCCTCTATGGACTTAACTTATAATTAGATGTCCTGTCACTGATTAATAAAATAAGTTATTCAAACTAAACACTTAACTAACTTCTACAAAAATACCTGTATTATTGAGATACAATACTATATGATTTGGATGATTCAATTNGCCATTGAGAATCATGGATACAATGAATGCCAGACAACCGCAACATATGACCACTTCAATGATATTAATAAAACTGTGAGCTATAAGAGCGCCGTCAGAGATGACATACTCATGTTTGGGTGTCACTACATCTGCCAATACGACTGTCCAACTGTTCACATAAATAGATATTGAAAATGTAGCTATAATTGTCATTTCATACCCCAAAGTATTCAAATAAACGCCAATAACAATGAGCGACAAATTCTTCATTATAAATGAATTGCAAACATTTGTGCCCATAATTTGATCCATGTCCTTGATGTTTAAATTGTTAAATTGAATAGCACTAAGAATACAATTGTCTACCGTTTTTAATATCTGATTATAAGTTGTAACAGAATTTTGTAATCAATTTAAAAATACAAACTCGCGATACAAACAAGTGATTTATTGAACACGATTTTCAGTCAAAGTATTTTATTATAGATTAAAATTTTAAAACAAACATAAAATTCCGTATTATCTTATAATAAACTAAAATATGTTAAGAAAACTGTATGAAACGCTATATTAAGGAAAAGTTTTTGGTGTCGGGTATGACTGTTAGGGGAAAGATATGTATGCGACCATTAGGTTCCACCCGATGGACAGTTAGGAACACGTGTTCAGATTTGTCCACAGTTTCCCTGAACTTTTCAGCCGTATTGACCGGATTTGCATTGACTCGAGTGATCACATCATACCTCATGAGTTGGTTAAGACTGAATCCATGGGAAATGGATTGGAATTGTAGTCATTACAGTAACCATCGTGAATATACACTCTTACCCGACACCCATACTGTTCCCAATGACTTGATCCCAGACCACAACACTCCTATGAAGTAATCCAGTGGCGAAATGCTGTTTTAGTTGGGTATCACTGAACCGGTTGTTTACCACTCTTTGGTTCATCGGTACGACTAATAGACCCAAAGATCGCTGTCCCGACAATTCATGTCTCGCTTCAATGGCTTTCAACTCATTTTGGTCTCTGTTTTGTGAATCAATTCCTCTTTGAATGAAAGCTTAAGAAATGATAAAAACATCTCATTATATGGACAGATAATCAATAAAAATAGGCATACCTTTCAACACATGGTTAGGAACTGTACTGTTCTCGTCGTTACCATTAATTCCTCCCCAATTCATACCCACTATTTCTCCATTCATGTTAAGCAACGGACCCCCGGAATAACCGCCATATTGTGGACAGGTATGCGCTACGCGTTCATTAGTCCCGTCCTGACAGGTATCAAAAACTACATAACAGTCCGCAACCATAGAATCCGTGGGCCTATCGATAGACTGTACGATACCATCGCCTAAACAATACTTAATACCATAAGTACCCACACTTAACACCCGTTCCCCTTGTTTTAGGGTCGACCCGAATCGGCTGACCATACGGGGCGGCATAGGATGGGAAAGTCGTATAAGAGCGCAGTCTATCTCCGGCTCCATATACGCTACATATCCGACACATTTGTATATAACATTTTTGGACTCCCGGACCACACCATCCCTGTGCGGGACATACAGTCTGACAGTTACAGAGGCTGAGTGTTGAGCGGGTATTATGTGGCTACAGGTGACTATATATTCTGGGTTATTAGTAACGATTCCTACGCCCCTGGTGCTTTTTCGTAATCCCGTTCCCGTCTCAGTGTTTGAATAGGCGGCAACCCTTACGATACTATTGATGGTATGTCTGTAGATATAATTGATGTCTATTTGGGTGTCTTTCATGTGAGCCATTCGTAACCCAAACTTACGGCTGATATCGTGATTTTTGCGCCAATAATTCACACCAATTGCCCCACAAATGGTTATTATGAGTGGACTTTTACTAACTGTTTGTATCAATAGTCTGAACATAACTATTGGATATAATTTGTAATATTATAAAATTATCAATTAATTTCCAGTATTGAGATTCAGTAACTGAATTACTGTACTTTAAGTACTGATTAAACTTGATTTGCAAATAACAGTTAAACTCTATTATTGTACGAGATCATGAAAATGATTTCTAAAATAATTATTATAATACACAAAAACTACTATAAATTATTGTGAGACACATCGATGTAAAATAATTAATAGAAAACTACAATATTCACTAGTTAATAAACATAATACTCAAAAACAGATTATTTATAAATATGCAAATTTGAATACAGTATAAAAGTAATCGTAAGATAATCTACAATTAAATTAGTCACTCAAGCGATCAAAAGTTGTAATCATATTAAGTAACAGTCTTTGGCCTCAAGTTTGACGGATAGGGAAAAGCCTTCAGTTTTAAGATCAGGTGTGAGTCGATAAACAGTTAACTCTAAATGACCAGGCTGTTGAATCATTTGTCTGAACATTTCCAGTGAATGAACTGGCTCATCGTTCACTTCTGTGATCACATCGTTTTTCTTGAGTACGATATCACTGAATGGGAAATGGATTTGATTTTCATTAAATAATCGTTAATTACATTGATTACCAAATAATAGTCACAATTAATATGCAATTAACGGATAATCATTAAGAAAATATTTGCAATACAAATGGTTTGCATTCAAATAGATAGCTATAAAATGTATATACACTTACCCGACACCCACCCGATTCCCACACACCTGATCCCAGACAACGACACCACCATCTAATACATTGGCGAACTGGGCCTTCCCTATACTACCACTAAATAGGAGTTCCTTTATTTTCTTATCCAATGTTACGAGTAATAAGCCCAAAGATACCTGAGCTGTCAATTCATATCTCGCTTTCAACGCTATTTCGTCCGATTTTTGTGATTCAATTCCTCTGTCAATGAAATCTAAAGAAATGGTAAAAACATCTCATATTATATGAACTGATAGTGCGATCACAGGATGTAATCAATTAAAACACAAACCTTTTAACGTATGGTAAGGAACGGCGTATTTCTCACGAAGCGCCTGATCTCCACCAGAATTCATAGCAACTACCTGTCCGTCCGTGTCAAACACCGCACCCCCGGAAAAGCCCACATATGTGGCACAGGTGTGCATAGTATACAGACTGTCCAGACTGTGAACAGAGGTTTGTATGGAATGATTGCCTCGGCTACAGGTGCCGAACGGCCTGTCCAGCGATTGTACGACACCATCGGCTATACAATAGGATATTCTATGACTCCCCACACACATTACGGGTTGGCCTACTTTTACACCGGACTCAGGGAACTTGGATGTAGTCATCTTGTTGTGCGGAAATTCAGTGGACAGTCGTATTAGGGCGCAGTCTATAGCCGGGTCCATATAAGCTACATATCCCTGGAGGGTAAATGCCTTACTCGCAGACACCCTGATCACTTGATCAGTATTGGGCGTAAACAGTGTAATGATTACAGGGGTTGACACATCTGATTGTATAACGTGAGCGCAGGTCACTATGTATTGGGGGTCATAGGTCACGATCCCTATACCGTTGCCGTTTAGCAAACCACTAGACCCCGGCTTAATTGTAGCCTTCATGTAACTGAATGAGTTTATGAATACTATTTGAGTCCAGGCTATTCTGTAGGTGTAATTGTCCTGATCAGTGCCATTCATGTGAGCCATTCGTAACATAAACTTGTGGTTAGTATCGATGTTTGCCATCAATTGTTTGCTCACTTTTGGGTGTCTTTTGTGCCAATAATTCGCACCAATTGTCGCACAAATGGTTACGATTTGTGGACTTTTGCGAATAGATTGTGTCAATAGTTTATACATTTGGAAAATAGT